TCTGAACAAGCCCACTGCACGATCTCGCAAGAGCACATGTGCCGAAAGAAAAGGCAGGTTTTGAAGCCGTTTAAGAGGCCCCACAAAGCCAGTCTACAGACAAGAAGGACTAGCAGCCTTCCAGTGTTTGAGGGGCTGCCCCAAAGAGGAGAGGGCTATAACTTATTTTCCAAAGCACCAAAGGGCAAGGCAAGAAACGGCTGAACGGGACAAATGAAGGCAAGAAGCAACCTGGAATTAAGGGGAAACTTCCTAATCAGTGGAACAGCCTGCCACCAGAAATTGTGGGTCCTCCAGTTTTTAAGAGAAGATTGGACAGCCACTTGTCTGAAAGGGTCTCCGGCCTGAGTTGGGGGAGAGGTTGGACTAGAAGACCTCTGAGGCCCCATCTATTCTGATTGATTGAAGACACAGGGAAATATGGCTACCTGCAGTCCAAGGCACCCCTCAAACCTTACCCGAGTTGCTCTAACTAACCTTTCTCCTCCCTCCACCCCAAGCAATCACTCACTATCAGTTATGTGGACATCAAGATGATTTCAATCTTCTGCCACTTCTCCAACGCCTCCAGCCGAAAGTAGATCCCAACATGCGTCAGTCTGAAATGAGAAATGTTAATTATATGTTTCATTAATTATATGCTTAAGTGTGGGGAAGGTATTGCTTGGTTATTTATCTTTTCAAGTTTTTATTTTTATAGCATATAAAAATTCCAATTTCAGTTGAACAGTGTGTTGTCTGGGTACAAGTATTTTTAGGATATACTAATCAAAATGTTTACAACAATATTCACTACATTGATGTTCATTACTGTAACAACAACAACAACAATAATAATAATAACCAATTCAACATGCCTTTCTTATATCGCTGATCATATCCATCTATTGCCCCTTCTCTCCTGTTTTTTTCCAGCTAGGCATTGGTAAAGTAAATCACAAGTCAGAAAGTATTCGGTTTCCTTCTTTTTCTTGATTTGAAACCAGAGATTTTACATAAACTGACTGCAGCTAGAATTGTATTGGAGCCACAATGGAAATGTAAAGAGATCCCAACATATGAAAATGTGATGAAAGAAACGTTAGAATGTGCAGAAATGGGCAGGTTAACGCTTCTGTAATCAAAGGAAAGAAGGGAAGGAGTTGCTTTGATTGCCCCCTGCTTCTTTTCTCTTTCACCGCCCTCCCTTCTTCCTCTTTAATAATTGTTGAAGGGAAGAGCGAGAAAGTGGCACAAGGGTTACGGAGTAGCCCATCTCTTAACCGATTAACTTTCTGCTCCTAGAATTCAGAAAGGAGGCCGGCGAGATGCTCTCATCCCTTACCTACTTGTTATTAATTTATTGTCCTTAAAACTTGGGGACCTCACCGATCTTTCTCCGGGGAAGGGAAAGGGACCTCGATCTCAGAATAACAAAGAGTTGGAAGGGCCTTGGAGGTCTTCTAGCCCAGCCCTCTGATCAATCAGGCAAACCCTGTTTTCAGACCAATCTCTTCTTCAGTGATGGAACGCCTACAACTTCCACAGGTCCCCCTGATCAATTGTTCTTGCTGTCAGGACATTTCTCCTTAATTCTAGGTCAGTTCTTAATTCCTTTCGACAGCTCTGTTTAGATCTCTAAAGTCTTCAAGTTGTATTGAAGGCAACTCCCAACAGACAGGACTTTTACTACGCTAAGCCATAAGCAAAGGGTGCTGCTTCTTTCAGAGCACAATGGGGCGTCTTCCTACCACCAACCTGTCGTTAAGTTAAGACGGTGGAAGAGCCAGCTGCAACCATTTCCTAGTGTCTTCCAACTACAAGAGTTGGGAGACACCTTGGCCGGTTTTGCTCAGAGTTCCTCGCTCCCTTCCCCATCTCCGCTTCCAGCCCCCATCACCACAGCTCGCTGGCAAACCCACCTACTCACCTCACTCCAAGAGCTGGCAGCCTTCTTATCTGCTGTGGGTCTGAGGCTGCTCCAGCCTCTCTCGCAACAGGAAGAAGTGAGTCAGCTACATCTTCTGCTTCTGGAGTTCTGTTCTTTCCTCATCCTGTTTCAGAGGCACTGGAGAAAAATGTGAATTTCCCTGGGCTCCTAGCAAAGGAAAACAGGACCTCCAGCCCCACTGACAAGCGAGTTTCAGGGTTTTTTCATGCTTTCGCTCCAGCTAGCTGGTGGGAGGGAACTTTCCCTGTTAGGGGAGGTGAAGGGGAGGTGTAGGCAGGGTTGTCTTTGGCTTGCTCTTTTTTGCTTGCTCTTTTTTAGCCTGACATGTACGTGTGTGTGTCTGCGTCTCTGTGTTTGTCTCTGTGTCTTTGATTAGGGGTTGGAAGATATGGCTAGATGGTTTGGGACACAGCAATAAATGCTATGTTAACAAACAAACAAACAAACATAATAAATGCATAATAAATATTGGCAAAAAAAATCAGAAAATAAAATACAAGCTGAATAGTCAAGACCTTGTTGATGATCCAAACTCTGTCAAGGACCTTGGAGGACTCGTCTCTAATGACCTAAGGGCTAGACCCCACTGTAACTACATAGCCAAAAAGGCGTTAAAAGAGTTGTTAACCTAATCCTACATAGCTTTTTCTCTGGTAATATCACACTACTAACTAGAGCATACAACACATTTGCTAGACCAATACTCAAATACAGCTCATCAGTCTGGAACCCACGTTACGTATCTGATATTAGCACAGTTGAGAAAGTCCAGAAATATTTCACAAGAAGAGTTCTCCGTTCCTCTACTCGGTGGAAAATACCTTATGCCACCAGACTCGAAATTCTAGACCTAGAAAACCTTGAATTATGCCGTTTTCAGTCTGATCTAAGTATAGTATATAAAACCATACACTGCAATGTATTGGGAGGCTGTCGCCCTGGCACGCAGCTGCCTTGGTGAGACTTGGCCTGGTGCCATTTAGAAATTGGACTGGGGGGTTCTGGACCACCCAGCTGGGCCTGGGAGGCAGGCTAGCCAGTCTTTCAGGGGGCCACAGTGTTTCAGGAAATTACGAGGCTCAGACCTTGGAATCCAAAAATAAGTTGGTTTTATTTGCGCCAACAGGTTCAGAGTATTAATTAGCTGGATGTCACAAACCCACCTGGCTAAACTCCCTAGCTTGTGATTTTGTTACAAGCGAGACTAGGTTTATTGGCAAATTTGACCAACAGATGATCCTTTTCGTTTGGCTTTTCATACTTCCTTGTTCTTCCTCTTGCTTATACTGCATATTTCACGATCTATAAAACTTTTATCATTGTTTCTCTAAAATTAATATATGTTTATGTTCTGCCTTAAAAGACAACAAAGGCAAAGCTTGGTGAGTCTTGGTGAGACTTGGCCTGGCAAGTTTTATAGATTGTGAAATATATGGTATTAGCAAAAGAACAAGGAAGTATGAAAAGCCAAACCAAAAGGATCGTCTATTGGTCAAATTTGCCAATAAACCTAGTCTCGCTTCTAAAAAAACCCACAAGCTAGGGAAACATCCAGCCATCCTAGCCGAGCAACAGGGGAAGTGGAAAGCTGTGTTTCAAGTAACCAATGAATGAGTGACAAGTTATATTTCTGTGTTTGGCCCCTTCTGAAGTATATAGGGATGTGCTGTTCTATAAGAAATTTGTTCGGAAGTGACTCTCACTAAAATACTCTGAACATGACTACCAATTCTTCTCTTGCATCCTAGTTGGCTTGTATAGAGGGAAAACCTGGGAGCTGCAGTTCACCTGGGTCACCAGTAGATGGTAGTGGAATGGGGTATTTTGCTGCCTTCTACTGGCCTTTTGGAGCATGTCAACCGATGACACTCCCTGATTAGAAAACTGAGCTCAACAATTTAAAAATAGGTCAGTGTATAAAAACTATGTGATTAAAATTCCTCTGGAAGTTGGACAGTTTGACAGAAATATTTAACAAAAATGTGTTGATAATTTGAAAAAAAAAAAAGTGAACCAGCAGCGTATTTATTGCTTCAATGATGCTATATATATATATATACACAGATTTATATAAGAGAAACGATCGAAGACACCTGTCCTTTTGAATCTCTTTAATTCTTTAATAAAGTCAAACAACAGGAAAAACAAAGGAGAAATGTTGGGGCATTAAACACTTTTAAGATCCCACCCAGGTGGATGAAGATGGGCGAAAAAGGAAATATTTCCAAAGTCATAATCTTGAACTTTAGAAAGGTCTGGTTAAAAAAAAAAAAAAGAGGATATGAAAGTGGGGAAATTAATAAACAGATTCATAAGAAGTCAGAGAGAAAGAGTGAAGGGGAAAAGGGACAAAGGCCTGCCAGTGATTCACACACAGTACTTCCTGCCATCTCCAACGTCTAGCCCTTAATTGAATTGAATTGGGAAGATTGAATTCTCCCATCAAAAGGAAAGACCTCCCCCCAAAATCCACAGGGAAAATTTTTTGGCTGAAGGAGATCAGGATACTCAGCCAGCCTTTCAATAATTCCTGTCCTCTTGTCCGTCCCTCTTGAGAGAAGCAACTTGGCAGGACCATATATCCCAGCTCATATTTTTCTTTCTTGGGACTGCAGAAACAGCCCGGCAGAGGCGTTGGGCCTGGAACATGGTTAGTTTTCAGCTCCCCGTTGTCAAAAGGAAAGGAAGGAGAAGGGTTCACATTAAAAAAAGAAAAAGAGAAAAATGCAGTGACAAAAAGGAGAGAGAGACGGAGGGAGGGAGGAAGAGATGGAAGAGGAGGAAGGAAGGAAAAAGATAAAGAAAGAACGAGGAAGGGGGAAGGAAAAAAGAACAAAGGAAGGAAGAAGAAAAAGGAAAGGAAGATATGAATAAAATGATTGAAAGAAAGGGGAATACATGAAGAAAGGAAAGAATTAAGGATGGAAAGAGTGGAGGATGGGAGAAAGGAAGGAAGAAGTAGGAGGAAGGAAGGAAAAAGAAAGGAAGGAAGGAAGGAAAAAAGGACGAAGGAATGAAAGGGAGGAAAGAAGAGAAATAAGAAATGAATAAACGAAAGAAAGGAGGAATAAAGAAGAGAAAGGAAGAATAAATGAAGAAAGGAAAGCGAAGAATTAAGGATGGAGAGTGGGAGAGGAAGGAAGGGATTAAGGGAAGAAGAAAAAGAAGGAGGGAAGAAGGGAGGAAAGGCCCATCCATGTGGTATATTCTGGGATTTCGGCACAAACCAGGGCTTGTTTGGGGGAAGAAAAGCTAATTCCCCCCTTTGAAATAAAGGTGGGGGTGAGCTCCTTAAGGACAGTCCTCCCCCGCCCCAAAATGTTTGCAAAGTCCGGCTGGGCCAGAAGTGGGTTCCAAGCCTTCCAAGTGGTCAGTGGGGGCGGCTGCTGGATTCCAGGTGTGACCGTTTTCCAGGCGCCAGGAGGGGGAGGCTATCGCCTTGCTCAGGGAAGGGCCTCTTGGACGAGCGGCCATGTCCGTTCACCGCGGCCCGGTTCCACTTGCAGAGATCCCCGCTGAGAATGTCCTGGATATGCTGCACGATCAGGTTGATGGCCACTGCCAAGGGAGAAGAGGAGAGGGAGCACTGAGCCAGGGAGCCCAGTCATGAAACGCCTGTCGGCCACCAGCCCCTCCAGCAGCTGAAGCAGAGGAAGCGGTGTGGGAGGCGGCGGTGTGGGAGTCGGGGCCAGCATCGGGGCAACCTGGGAGCTCCGAGGGGAAAGAGGGAATGGAGCTGGCAGAAAGAGAGAGAGAGAGAGAGAGACAGACAGACAGAGGCCTGGGCCCTCCCGCAACCCTCAGATGGAGAGTCAACAGCCCCCAGGAGTGGCGGTGGCTGATGAGGAAGAGGAGGAACAGCTGAGTCCAGTGCATGCTATACGGATGCACAGAAGGCAGAGGAGAGGAGAGCAGTGGAAATCTATGAGCCGGTCCTCGGGACGGAAGAGCCGCCGCTGCTAGCGAAGCCCCACCCTAGTTCTGGGGTTAAAAGGCAGCGGGTGGGGATGAATAGATATGGCCGGCCGACTTGCTAACCCGCAGTGGGAGAGAAACCTTTTGCCGGGGCTGCCGGCGTTCCCTAATAAAGGAATCTTGGAGTTTACTTCAGAGGATTTGTGATGTTTGGGGGGCTGAGTCAGGACACGAACCACCAACTCAGAGAGAGCACCGAGGGGACACACACACACACACCTTCTCATTCTGCTAAACTATCTCTGGTTTTTAGCAACCCGCCAATTTGGGAACACTGTTTATTGCTCTCCTCATCCCGATGAAGATGACGGCAACCCCAGTTTAAGAGACGTTGAGAAGTGGGCAAAATTCTCTATCAAGTTCACACAATCCTTACCCATATTATCCACGCCTCGCGGGATAATGACGTCAGCGTATTTCTTGGTCTGCAAGGAAGGAGGAAGATCACCAACGGCCTGGTCTAAGCAAGCATCAACTCAGAAGTCATCGTAGCCAGAAGAAAGGAAACATGGTTTATATTCCTTCTGAAAAGGCTCCCTCAGAAAGCTTCAACTTGTTCTAGTTTATGCTACAGGTAGTCCACGACTTACAACAGTTTGTTTAGTGACCATTCCAAGTTACGACGACACTGGAAAAAAGTGACTGCTGAGCATTTTTCACAAGTACACCTTTGTAGCATCCCTGTGATCACCACCATCATCGTTTAACCACCCCATAATCCCCTGAGGGGTGGAGTCTGGGCCACTGAATGGAGCTGAGTGTTTACTGGCCGGATGCCTTTCCTGTCCCCAATGCGGAGTTATATTCAGCAGATAGATTCTCACTGTGCCCGGAGAAAGATCTGCCTCCACCGAGGATTGAACTCACAGCCTCCTGAGAGTGAGGCGAGAGCTCCGCTTCTAGACACACCGCAACACTCCGTAGCATCCGCATGAACAAAATTCAGGTGCATGGCAACCGGTTCACACTTACGATCTGTTTACTAAGGTCCCCTTTTTGCGACCTCCTGACACTGGGGAAGCCAGATTCACTTCGTAACTGTGTGACTCATTTAAGAACTGCAGCAATTCCTTTAACAACTGTGGCAAGACAAGTCGTAAAATTGGGGTGGGGGAAGTAACTCACTTAACAAATGACTTAGCAATCTAAATGTTGGGCTCGTAACTTGAGGACTACCTGTCAAACTGGTTGCCAAGCACCCAAATTTTGATCACATGACCGTGGGGAATGCTGCGATAACTGCGAGGATTGGTTGCAAGTCCCTTTTCTTTTTCAGTGCCTTTGTAACTCTGAATATACGCTAAAAATGGTCGTCACTCGAATTCTACCTGCATATAAAGATTATCCTTGTTTAGCATCTGTAGTTGGGCCTGGCAACTTGCTTGTTAACGGACGCGTCACTAAGGGAAACCACGTGAATCCCTCCGATGACTTATCTTGAAAACCTGGGCTAAAGGAGAAGGGATAGTTTTCATTACCGGCAAACAGAATTCTTCAAAGGCAGGCTTGACAAACGTCGTATATTGAGTTAAAATCTGTTCCAGATCCCTCCCTCGTTTCATGTCTCGAAGGACTGCCGCGGAAGGAGAGAAAAACACAAAAGGGAAAACGAAAGTTAAAAACAGGACCGTCTCTATGATTTCCTAAGCATTGAAGAGAAGGTACGACGGAGGACTGGAATAACCCAATAGCAGAGTTGGAAGGGCCCTTGGAGGTCTTCTAGTCCAACCACTGCTCAAGCAGGAGACCCTGTAACATTTCAGACAAACATCTGGAATACGGCATCCAGTTTTGGTTGCCACGTTACAAAAATAACACGTTGAGACTTTGAGGAAAGGGCAGAGAAGAGCAACTAAGATTATTTAAAGGCCTGGAGACTAAAACACATGAAGAACAGTTGCAGGATTTGGTTTGGCTAGTCTAGAGAAAAGAAGGACTAGCGGGAGACATGGATAGCAATATTATTTTATTTATTTATTCAACTTATTTTCCAAAGCACCCTCAGAAGCAACGGATGGAAACTAACCAAGGAGAGAAGCAACCTGGAATTAAGGAGAAACTTCCTATAGGTGAGAATAATATCAGTGAGAACAGTTTGCCTTCACAAATTGTGGTTGCTCCAACATTGGAGATTTTAAAGAAAAGATTGGACAGCCAATTTCCTTGGCATGGCCTTGAGTCTCCTGCTAGAGAAGGGGGTTGGACTAGAAGACCTCCAAGGTCCCTTCCAGCTCCGTTCGGAATCCAAATCATTTCCCTTTGAAAGCATTTGAGGAAAAGAAGCCAACTTCTCACCTCTCCGGGACAATCTGACGTCTGAATCAGTATCGACAAAAAGCCGGAGATGAAACATCTCTCGGATTTCTTGACTGTAGAAGACTAAGATCCCTTCAAACAGCAGCACATCGGCAGGGTAAACCATCGTGGTCTCGGGCAACCTGTGCCAACACACAATCGTTGAAGAACAATCGCCCAACTGACATAGCACAACACAGTTTGGTTTGTGTGTGTAGGAAAGCAGGTAATTCTCGACTTACGACTCACCACCGAGCCCAAATGATAGAGATAGATAGAGATAGATAGATAGATAGATGATAGAAATAGATAGATACGATAGATGATTGATCGATCGATCCAGGGAATGGACACTGACCTGGAATGGGTCACAAAATCGTACGTTGGGACCTCCACTGCTTGACCATCGATGATGTTCTTCAGCGTCGTTTTCATCAAATCGTTGTCAAAAGCATCTAAGAGAGGGAAGAGGAGAAGAGCAACCAAGATGATTAGGGGACTGGGGGCTAAAACCTATGAAGAACAGTTGCAGGAACTGGGTAAGAAAGAGAAGGACTGGGGTAAAATCTTCCAATGTTTGAGCGGCTCTCACAGAGGCCCAGAAGGAAAGAGAAGAAAAAGGCTCGGTGGTGCGAGAGATACCTGGGTGGTCGAAGTTAAATTGCCCCTTTAAGGCTCTGGCTTTCTGGTCTGGGGTGAGCACCTTGTAGAATCGGTCTTGGCTCAGAATGACCACCTTCCGTTGACGATGATCGACCTCGTTTTGACCCAGCAGTTCCATGATCTTCTCACACACGGTGGACTTTGGAGGAAGGGATGGACAGACAGACAAACCAAGAAGGAAAGTTAGCAAAGTCAAGAGTGCAGCTCATCTTTGACTTACGACCAAAATTGGGACCAGAACATCCGAGGCAAAGGAAGCGAGTCATGTCCTACTTTATGACTGGTATATATAAACAGGGAGCCAACCTCACTCCCTTCTAGCTTTGATGATGTTACCTAGTTGGGTCATGAAATGCCTGCAAGAAAACAACCCAGCTGAGAGAGTACCAAGGACCCCCCCCCCCGCCCCCATTTTAACCCTGAGCTACAAATCTCCTCTTCGACTGATAATAAATTCAACCGAACAATCAATATGAGCAGCAAATGAAGGCAGCCGTATTCATTTGCCAGAAACCGGAATGGCCTCCCCTGATACAGGAGCTGAACGGAAATCGCATCTTGCACCATCCATAATTATAAACCTGATGTCATAAGGGAGGCTGGAGACCCCGTATCATATGATATAGGATAACACAATCTGGCAGCTGTCACTTCCAAACTGGAGGACATCCACACAACCCTGTTTTGGGAAAAGGACTTCGGTGCCTTAGACTCGGAATAATTTTACTGTCCCTTTGAAGGTGCCCTCATTGGCCTACATCAAATGGAAATTTTGTTTACATGCAGCTCCCAAACGGTCACACACACCCCAATATACGCTACATAAACAAGACAACACAAATACCAAATTAAGGCAAGGCAACCCACCCACCGGACACCTCTAAGCCACAGAGCTTTCTACCCTGGATTTTACGCCTCCTCCTCCTCCTCCTCCTGCCTGCCTCCCCCTTTCTTTGGGCTTTTCTGCAAGCCCCGGTCGTGGCGCGACCTCTTCTCATCTCCCCCACCTTCCTGCCGAGCCCCTCCCCCCATACTCCCCCCACTTTAAAGCCAAAAAGAAAAAAAAGCACCGGATTTTTATTTTTGCAAAACCGCTTTCTTTGGGTTTGCATTTTTTGCAAGCAGCGGAGGAAGCTGTGAATGCAAATGGGGGGGGGGGGTTCCTCCCCCTTTATGCATTATATTTTTTTGGGGGGGGTGAATTTGGCTTCCGGGCTCTTTTGCTGACCCCCCGTCCGCCCCTCCTGTCCAGGGGGTGCGGCATGCATTGCACGCCCCGGTTCTTGCTGGTTTATTATTATTATCATTATTATTTTGCAACGGGAGTGGGGTTTTTTGGGGGGGGGGCATCTTTACCTTGCCGCTGGCGGTGCCCCCGCTCACCCCGATCAGGAAGGGCCGCGGGTGAGGCCGCTCCGCCTCGCCGGCCGGGCTGCAGTTAGAAGCGTGGCCGCCCGCGGTGGCCATGAATCCGGCTGGGCCCGAAAAGCCCAGCGCCGCCGACGGCGGGGAGAGGGGGGAAAAACTACGCCTCCCAGCAGGCCCCGCGCAAGGAAAAGAGCCCCGCGCGGGTGCGGCTGGAGCGCGGGGTCTGCTGGGAAACGGAGTCCTCCAGAACGAACGCCGCCCCCAGCGTACACATGACCGGCTGTCATGGGGGGGAAGAGGCGGGGCTTGGCGGGAAAGGGGTGGAGCGTCCGCATAGCACGTAGCGCTGTTTGCTTTGATCTTCATGTTAATGTACCCTAATGTGGCTGCCTATTAGCTGCCTTGATAACACACACACAGACACACACACACACACACCATCATTGTCTGTCTGTCTAGCTATCTAATTTTCAGCAGAATAGAATTAGAATTAGAATAGAAATAGAATAGAATTAGAAGAATAAGAATAGAAAATAGAATAATTAGAAGAATAAGAATAGAAATAAAATAGAATAGAATTAGAATAAGAATAGAAAATAGAATAGAAATAGAATAGAATAAGAATAGATTAGAATAAGAATAGAAAATAGAATAGAAATAGAATTAGAATAGAATAAAAATAGAAAATAGAATAGAAATAGAATAATAGAATAAGAATAGATTAGAATAAGAATAGAAAATAGAATAGAAATAGAATAGAATAATAGAATTAGAATAAGAATAGATTAGAATAAGAATAGAAAATAGAATAGAAATAGAATTAGAATAGAATAAAAATAGAAAATAGAATAGAAATAGAATAATAGAATAAGAATAGATTAGAATAAGAATAGAAAATAGAATAGAAATAGATAGAATAATAGAATTAGAATAAGAATAGATTAGAATAAGAATAGAAAATAGAAATAGAATAGAATTAGAATCAACAGAGTTGGAAGGGATGATCTTGCAGGTGCAGCTACACTTGTGCCAAACCTGGGGGGCCAGAAGCAAACCCCGCATATTGGAGATGGGTGGGGGTAGGGTGTGGGTGGGGGTGGCTGCGCGTTGGCAACCCGTCGTGGGGGAGTTGAGAGTATCTCAAACTTTATGGACGGATCAAAGGTCCGCGCAATCCAACCCCAAATAAATCCAGATTATTGAGCCGGATGGGAGTCAGAGTAGTTGCCCTTCGCCCTGGCGTTTGCCAAGCCGAGCCAGGATCTTGGCACAGCTTCGCACCGCACACAAAGCACACAAATACACACACACCCATACGCAGTGGCCTTCGACCTCCTTGGCTTTTGGTACACACACAGCCGCCCTTCTGCAAACAAGCCATCAATGATTAATCCCTGGAAGCCGAGAATCTCGGCGCATGGGATGAGCCCTACGGGTCGTGCCCAGGGCAGGGCGCCATTGTTGATCCACTGGGGTGAGGAAGATGGCCCGGGGCAGGTGGAGGCAGGAAAGGTCCCCTACCTGGCTGAGGTGCCCAGGTCTTTGAAGGAGGAGGAAGGAGGCCGGGGAGAAGACAGGTAAACTGCCACAAACTCCTCCCTTGTAAATACAAACTCTGGGTGCGGGGCTGCGGTTCCCCTCTTTCCTAAGACCCAACGGTGCACAAGGCTAAAGGAGCCTTGGCAACAGAGCCTCCAGGGCTCAGGGCAGTCTACCTGTGAGGAAGCCAGGGGCAGCTCCCAAGTCAAAGGGCCACCGGGACCTCCTCGCATCAACGCCGCCCTGCGCACGACCACAAATTCAAGCCCCAAATTGAGTTCTGTCCCGCTTTTACGACCTCTCTTGCCGTTGAGTGAATCACTGTTCTTCCTTCCTTTTGTTCTCTTTTCTTTCTTCCCCTCCTCCATTTTCTTTCTGTCCTTCCTTTCCTCTCTTCTTCCCTTTTCTCCACCCCTCCTTCCTACCTTCCTTTTTCTTTTTTCTTTCCTCCCCTCCTCCCTTTTCCTTCTTCCATTCCATTCCTACTCTCTCCTGTTCCTCCTCCTTCCTTCCCTTCCTTTTGTATTTTTCTCCCTCCCTCCCTTTCCCCTCTCCTCTTCTTCCCTTTCCTCCTCCTCCACTTCCTCCTCCCTTCCTTCTTTCCTTCCTTACATTTGTTTAGATCGTCTTCCCCTTTGAAAAGTCTGCAAATGATCCAACTTGCAAAGAAAGGGGAACCGATGCTTATTTGATGATCACCATTATTGGGGGCGGGGCTGTTGCTTCCTCACAGGACCCGTGGAGACTTCTTTCCATTCAAGCAACCAACTTTGGAGGGCGCCAACATGCCTGGAGAAGAACTCCGTCCGAGCCCATCTCCAGGCGGCCCAAGGGAAGTCGAAAGAGGAGGAGAGGCCCAACCTTCTCCAGGGGATGCAACACAACTCACGGGAGAGCAGAAGACCTCATCCAAGCCCGACCACCAAGCAGGATCAGATCATCTCCAGAACATGGGGACCAGGCTCAACCCAGGCTTCGTAGAAGAGCCTCCTCCCTATGCTCCACCGGATCCAAAAGACGCCCACTTGTACCCGCCATTCCACGCCAACGTTCCACCACGGAGTTGCGTCTTTTACCAGCCGACAGCTGCACCCCACGCCCTAAGCCAACCACCCAATGCATTCTCCGGCCCCTGTCCTCACCCCATCGTGAGTTGTAAATAAGGGGAGGACATTTGTAGCTCAGGATTGAACAGCGGGGCCCCTTGGAGTGTCCTTGAGCTTAGCTGCTTTCTTGCAAGACGTTTCATGACATCATCCCTGCTAATAGGGAGTGGAGTGTGCAGAGAGGAGGAGGAGGAGGAGGGGAGGAGGAGGAGGAAGAGGAAGAAGACTGTGGGGTCTTTGGTGCTCTCTAGACTTAGTTGCTTGCAAGATGTTTCATGACCCAACTAGGTAATATCATCAGTGTTAGAAGGGAGTGGTCTTTGCAGATTGGAGGGGGAAAGGGAAAGAGGAAAGGAAAGGGGAGGGAGGGAAGGAAGGAAGGAAGGAAGGAAGGAAATCAGAGAATCAGATAATACACTATGAGGAGGGAGGGAGGGACAGAGGAAAGAGGGAAGGAGAGAGAGGAAGGGAGGGAGGGAGGAAGCGATTTAAGATGTTCCCTGCCAGATTCCTATCGGTTCGGTTCACCCTTAGTCATTCTATTTCTCTAAGTAAAGCAACATCTCTGAAAAAATGACCCAACGGGGCACTAATTATACTTCCAATTTATATTTATTGGGAATTTTGCAGCACCAGCAATTGAAACTTACTTCAAACAGGTACTGGCTTAACTCTGGGGAAGCTAGTCAGCTGCCATCTATCAAGCCAGCTTACCTGGCAGGGTTGTTATATGGAAAACAGGGAAAGAGAGGGCTCTCTAAGTTTTCAAGCCTGGACCTTTGAGGAAAGATGGGGTTGTACGTTGACCCAATTAAGAGTTGGGTGGGCTTCTCAGTTCAAGGTGGTTGACTTTTGGCTCTTCTTTCGGTACCAGGGTGCCTGGCCTGGCGAGAGCCCTCTGGTTGGTGACCAGAGGCTGCCACCCAAAGATTATATGATGGAATCTGTACTAGTGACAATTTTCTGCTGCTTGTTCACGGGCCTGATAGCCCTTGTCTATTCCCACGAGGTACGTGCTGCTACGGCAAAAATGCTGAGGTTTGTGGGGTGGGGGAAAGGGGACCTTTCACACTTTGATCCCCACGGATGCGTGCTCAAAATTCAGACACTTGTCAACTGGCTCCTATTTATGAGGGTCGCAGCATCCTGGGGTCATGGGATGCTCCTTGGCGACCTTCTGACAAGAGAAGTCCACGGGGAGGCCGGATTCCCTTAACAACCATGGGGCTAACTTAATGACTGTGGCGATTCACCTAACAAGAAAGGTCACAAAATGGATGGATGGATGAGGAGATGGGTAGGTGGGTGAGTGTAGATGGTTGAGTGGATGGATGGTTGATTGGGTGGATGGATGGATGTTTGAGGGAATGGATGGATGGGAGGATGGGTAGGTGGATGGATGCTTAGCAATGACAATTTTGGCCTCAATTGTGGTCGTAAGGTGAGGATTACCTGTGCTTGGCCTTGCTTCCAAGGAAAAAGTTGAACAGTGGTCCATATTTCTCACCTACAGTGGAAATTGATCCAAGATTCTCCGTTTTCTTTCTCATGTAGACCCGGGCTGCTCTGAAACGAGGTGACCTCATCCAAGCCATGAGGGCTTCCTACAAAGCTCACTCGCTCATCTTGTTCAGCCTCTTCTTCGGCCTCTTTGTGTCCCTCAGTTGGATTATCTACGTGGTGGTAACCCTGTATCTATGATCCCAGAAGGTTGGGATGGACCGTGGAATTTCCTACAAAGTTGTGGTATGGAGTCCTCATCCTCTTCAACCAGTTTGGGGACCAATTTCTCATGCTGGCACTTTCTTTTGTCTCTTCTCCAAACCCAGCCACATCAGGAAGGAACAATTGTCCTACAGGAAGTGATGAGATCTCACCATCACCACCACCAAGCTGGAAGGATGTCTTCATAGCGCATAGCGCTGACATCTTCTTTCGGAGCTTCCCGAGGCTCACTTAATTGCTATCTCGTCACTTAAAAAAAATAAATAAATACACAAACAGCCTGGTCCAAGGTTTAAAGGAAATTCTAGACTCTCCTTGGAAAAGCTACACGCTATCCTTGGGGCAGGTCAGGAGAGTGATCATCGGTCCAGGGGTTCTTCTGGCATCGAGACCAAATCAAGGGCACTGTCCCGTGAAGACCTCAGGAACTCCATACTGACTTTAATGGAGGATACTCCATTACGAACAATAAATGCTGGAAGGATTTTTACCCATTCCTGTTCATTTTGTGACCATTGACCTACAGGTGTAAATAGGGGGTCAGCAACTGATCTTAATTCCCTCCTTGCTTGGGTAAAAAGATGGATGGATGGATGGATGGATGGATGGATGGATGGGATGGATGGGCAGACAGATAGACACAAAGATCAATGATAGATTAGGTAAGTAGATAGGAAAATAGATGGACGGATGAGATAGTTGATAGGTAGACTGGATGAATAATAGATAAATGATAAATATAGATTAGGCAGGTAGATAGGAAGCTAGGTAGGCAGATGAGATATAGATGGATGGATGGATGGATGGACGGACTGAGCCCAGGAGAACAATCTTGTCTACAACATAGCACTGGTGCCCAAAATTTGAGAAATAGCAAGGGCAAAAAAAATCGAATTTCTCTGACCGGTTCCTCAATGCCCATTTCAACTCCTTGTTTTCAACCCGGAATATGTGAAACTACTTTTGCACATTGACTTCATGGGTACGGTTTTGAAAATCTTGCTGCGGTTGATGGTGACAGGTTCTTTCACTGCATTTATTTTCACTAGAGTTTTTTTTTCTTCCCTACCTTGAGTATAAAAAAGCAATAAAACGTGTTTTCAGATTTTTTTTATTATTTGCAAGTTGGGGCTCTACATTGTTGAGCCACAAATACACAGTGTTGGGCTCAGGAGACATGAGTTAAGATAGAACTGAGGGCAATTTTGTAAAAATTCAGAGTTCTCTTTGGATTTCCTAAATCAAACTGTATCTACCCTTTTCCCCCACCCCACTTTCCCTCCTTCCTCCGTGCTGGTCTCATTAACTCAGTGATACTCAACCTTGGCAGGTTGAAGATATGCGGACTCCCAGAATTCTCCAGCCAGGATTTCTGAGAGTTGAAGTCCACACCTCATAAAGTTCTTAAAGTTGAGAAACACTGCTGCTGTAGCAGAACTCCGCTTTAAATTAAACTCTCCTCCCAAGAAAATAAACACAACGTCGTCCCTGTTTTAACTAGCAGGAATTAAAGAAGAGAAAAAACAAAACCAGCCCTTTGGGGTCAGATTCAGAAACAGGGATCATTCAGAGCCATGTGGGAAGAGGAGGAGGAAGAGGAGGAGGAGGGGGAAGGGAGGAGGAGGAGAGGGGGAAGGAAGAGGAGGCTGGAGAAGGAGAAGGGACGATGTTTTTGGTGGTTTAGCAGATGGAGTAGGAAAAGAGGGGGAAAAAAGAGAGAAGGGGAAGCGATGATGGCGATAGAGAAGAAAAAAAAGAAAGAGGAGAAGAGGAGGAGGATGGAAAAAGGCCGTCTCAATTTTGGCCACTGAGCAAGAGGAGAAAAAAAAAATCAAAGCAACTCAGCACGAATTGCAGCCCAAACCCTCCCAAATGGGGGGGAGAAGGCACCACTTTTTGGAAACAATCCGTCTCTGGGCATCTGATTTCAAGGAGCAGAGAATGGAAGGAGCCCTGGAAACCTCTCCAGCCTCCAGGGAAGCCGGAGAAGAAGAAAACGCAGGCTGTGCAGCATGGGAGTGGTAGCCCAGCACATCTGGGAGAGGAGAGTCAAGGGGACTAATTCCCTCTTTGTTTTAATGATTGGGTGGGAGTAAATTTAGGTTTAGCCATTATCTCTGGAGCCCGACGATCCAAACCAACCCGGTTTAATTCTGCCCACAATGGGTTTGACCTCACTGTGTTCACAATCGCCTGCCTGAGTTCTGTCGTAACTTTGGGCTGATGTCTTCACAGCCTAAAGATCCATTTTGTCTCTCGTCCCTATCCATTTTTCTTTTTTCTTTTCCCTTTTTTTTAAAAAAAAAAAACGATTCCTTGCCAAAATAATAATAATAATAATAATAATAACAACAATAATATTAATAACCAACTAAAAACAACCCAAACTGAATGGCAAAACGGCCCTCCGAAAAGAAAACAGAAAGGGAAAACAAAAACAAAAAGCAAAAAAAGGAAGGAAGAAAAAAGAAATCCACAGGCGAATTCAAACATGCACATTGAAAACGAAAACACCACGCTCCTACAACCCCGTATGTACAGGCGGCTGTGTTTTCCTACAGATTCACTGCCTTTGCAAACTTAGTACCGTCGCCAATTTAAGACGTTTCCCCCCCCCCCCCCCCCCCCCCCAGTGGAAATCCGGAGGTCGGGGTGGAGAGTTGAGATATGACGCCCCCGGTTCCGGGCAGGAGGAGGAAGCGATCCAAACTTGCGGAAGAGACGGGGAGAAGAACAGCTGGATCCAAGCCCTCCACAACTTCTTCAGCCACTTCCGGCTCTGGAAGAACTTCACCCGGTGGTGTTGTGGCGTCGACACCACCTCTGCCAATGAAGGAAGGGGGTGGGTGGGCGACCAGAATTTACCTCCATCCCTTCCAAAGCTGCCTTGCTTTTCTTCCCCAGGTTTTCTCCTAGAGAGGAAGTATCCGAGATGCTTCTCCTCGGCGCGCTCTTCAGGAAATGCCCCTGGCCAAACCCATCCGTTGGTTACCCTCATGGCAGGCGTGCAAGAGATAATAGGTTCATGTCTCCCTTCTCTGCTTGAGTGTGCAAACATGTAGGCTGACTGGTTCCTCTCTCTCTCTCTCTCTCTCTCACACACACACACAGACACACACAAACACACACACACACCTCGGGTGCAAGTATCACTTGACTTTTGGCGAGGCGGAAAGACCCCCGTTTGGCTTCTCTTCCGTCCTTCACTTTCCAGACCAAGAGGTTGACGTACAACAGCCCAGCAGTGATGGAGATCTGCGCAGAGTGCCAAGGCTTGGAGCTCTGTGCCAGTCCTAATGGGATGCCCACGGCCTTCCTGCTTCCTCCCCCATGCCACCCCCCACCCCTTTCTAAGTCTTCTCTTCCCGGTCTGTTTTCCGCCGCGTTATATTTCGGGGTTTGATTTTGAGCGAAAGTTCCCATAATGCCTCCTCGGCCAGGTGGTCACTGAAGTCGTTGAAGAAGGAAATGATGTCATCGTTGCGTTTGATATCGTAATGCCTGCAAAGATCAGAGGGAAAGGTTTAGATCGGAAGGGATCCAGTTGGGTTCGCTCCCAGCCTCAAAGGTGCTTTATTTATTTATTTTTCCCAAAAGGCAACTGGACTTTCTGGTTTTTCTGGGAAGATGTTTTGCTTCTCCTCTCAGAAGCTTCCTCAGCTCTGAGTGGATGGTGGAGAACGGAAGGATCGACACCCCTTGCAGACAGCTGGTCATTTGCCTTCTTTCAGAGAGGCGTTGAGGCCACTTGGAGGTTTATCTGTGTCCTGAGGAGCCCCTGAATAGTGCAAATAGGTGTGCAGCCTTCTACAATACAGTCCCTTCAGCAGGTCTAAGGCTCCACAGCCATTGGCAACTATTCAGATAACCTTGAGGACGCAGACAAACCTCCAAGTGGCCTCAACGACTCTCTTCCAGTCCCCAAGCTTCTCAGAGGAAAAGCCAAACATCTCCCAAGAAACCCCAAAAAGTCCAGTTGCCTCTTGAAAAGAAAAGCACCTTTGGAACAACCATGACCTGATGGATGACGGAGATCCAGAGAGGTTAACCCTTCGTGTTGCCCCACTTCTTCAGCCCGGACAACCCAAAACTTGGGTAGGAAGCCCAAGGGACAAAAGACTTACACTTGCTGGAACCGTCTCATGTTGTCCAGGATGTTGAACTGTTGCCACCGCTTGGAGAAGTTGACTTTGCCATCGATGTAGTCGGGGTTTCCCAGGTGCACGAAGGTCAGGTCTTGCAGGATCAGGCCCCTGGAGGAGGGGAGAGGGGAAAGGGAAGAGGTTCCAATTGGGGCTTGGAAGAGCTACAGGCCTTAAGTGGCGAAAGGGTGGTCTCTAGGCGGGAAGACTTCCTGCTTTGACAGCGGCTGGTCAGTCACAACCAAAGAAAGAAGGTTGTTTCGCACCCCCAAAGCCTGGGGAGAAATCCGGCATGGCCAACGACAAGCAGTCCTCACTTAGTGACTACAATTAAGACCGCCAGCCCGGCTGTTAAGCAAAGCGCCTGCCGAGCGGGAAAATGGCGATGTTACCCTCTTACTTCCGCTTCGCTTTCCAGAACTGTGAAGGCTAGTGCAAGGATTGGTCGTAAATTCACTTTTTCCGTCAGTGTCGTAATGGCTAACAGTTGTTAAACGAGGTGGCGAGGTCTACTGGATAGACTGGAGAGAAAACGCGCCTGTATAAGCTAACTCTAGTTTATCGTAAAGCCACAATAATGGAACCTGGCAAGTCTGAAAATACAGTTCTGTTGCCGTCATTTTTATCACTTCTTTCTCCATGATGCAGCTGAGGGCTACGTGGTCTCTTATCTGGCTTTTCCCAAGGTAGCGTCTCTTTTGTCCGGTCTCCCAAGGTCTTTTGGGAGCCTGGACAAGTGACCAGATAAATATTACACATTAGGGCCAATTTCTTCTCCTTCTTTTTTATAATAAACTTTATGAATCTTTTATAACTTTAAAAACAAACAAAAAGTGTAAATATCTTGACATTAACTGTTTGTGGCATTCATCTTATACTACTGTTTTGTGCATTATTTACACATACACACAATTGATGCGAATGTAAGCATTTTAACCTATATATTGCTTATCATTAATTTTTCATCATCCATCTATCTTAGCTCCATCCAGTCATACCATTTTCCCCAAATCCTATAATACTCGGACTCCTCCTTTTCTTGTAACGTCAGAGTTAATTTATCCATCTCGGCACAAGACATCATTTTTTGAATAATTAGTTCATCTGGTGGTATACATGTATGTTTCCAACACTGGGCATAAGTAATTCCAGCTGCCGTTAAAATATGTAATACTATATTAGGGCCAATTTCTCGATAACCTTAACAAATCCAACTGTTAAAGATGCGTTACAACGTTTTAGAGTTAACATATACAGCGGTGTCTTCCCTCGGTTTGATCTAGTAACACCTAGCTGCCTCGTTTAGTGACCGTTAACTCTTAGGACCCAGATGAAAAAAGTTAACTTTTCGACCAATCCTTGCTTTTACAACCTTCACGGATCTGTAAAGCAAAGCTGAACTAAGATTGTGCCATTGCAACGTTTCAACTCAGCAACTGCTCCGCTTAATGGCCAGGCTGGCGGCCGCAAGGGTGAGCTGAGGTTGAACAGACCGATTTTGCGATCTTCTCCAAAGAGAAGGATGAAAAAAAGTTGTGACGCTACTCACAGGTAAGGGATACAAGGCGGTTCGACCTCAGAAAGCGCAGCTCGGTAAGCCCGGAAGGACGACGAACTGTCAATCAGGGTACAATACTCTGCCAAGCCCTGGAGGAAAAAGAAAAGAAGAAGAAAAATACAGGCAGTCCTTGACTTGTTTAGCGACCGTTTGAAGTCAGAACTTAGCTGGGCCTCAGTCACGGTCTTCAGCCACGAGGGCCGATTCTCATGGATGTTATTTTTGTAAGCTTCCCGGCATCACTGAGAAGTGGGTGAGTGGGCAGCCATGTAAAATTTTCTTAAATGGAAGAAAAATAAACTTTCAATTTTACTGTTACTCTGGTCACCTTAACCAGATCCAAAGTTAAGATGACCAAAGTAACAGTAAAATTGGAAGCTTGGAAAAAACTTTGGTGTGATGTCATCAAACTCTTTATTAAATATAGGTAGTCCTTGACTTACAACAGTTCATTTAGTGACCGTTCAAAATTGCAGTGGCCCTGAAAAAAGTGACGGTTTTCACACAACTGTCATGGGGCAAAACTCCCCTTAAACGGAGGCCTCACTTAGTGACAGAAATTTGGGGCTGGGTTGTGGTCGTAAGTTGAGGACCACCTTGTAAAAGCCAACCTACCTCGGAGGTCTGTTTCTGCCACTCGAGACGCCGAATGGGGGCCGAATCCAGCGCGGAAAGGATGGCCAAGTAGGAGTTGAAGTTGTTGAGTTTCCGTAAGTGCTGCGGCAAAAAAGGGAGAGGCTGCAGTTGGTGTCGCCCCTCGTCCGTCTCTTCGTTGGATCGAACGGACTTAGATTTTAGTTCAAGAATCCAAAAATTCACCAGGAAATGTTTTGAGCCTGGAATTCTGTCCTCCTGCCTCTCAAAGGAGGGGAGGGATTCGAAAAAATGTTCACTACCGGTTCAGTGGGCGTGGCTTGGTAGGTGTGGCTTGACGGGCGTGGCAGGGGAAGGTTCCTGCAAAATCCCCCCTCCCAACTAACCTGCTTTCCAGCTCCCTACTCCTGTGCAGGGCAACCAAAGGAGATCCAGCCAATCAGCTGGGACTCAACGGGAGGCGGAGAATAGATGGGGGCGGGGCCAGTCAGAGGTGGGATTTGCCAGTTCTCCAAACGGCTCAAAATTTCTGCTACCGGTTCTGCAGAACCAGTTGGAACCGGCTGAATCCCCACCTCTGCCTAAAAAGCCTGTCCTAAATCAGGCCTGGTCCTATTCCTTGAACTGGGTCTCTCCACCTCTTGTGCCTCTCGAGCTGGATTATTATTATTAATAATAATAATACAAACAATCCATCATCCATTAAACAGTGTGTTGTCTGGGTACAGATATCTTGTGCAATAACAATAACAAGTTTCCAGCCACAATTGTTACTTTGGTATTCATTCTCTACTCTTAGCTCATTACACACACACACACACACACACACGCTTGCTTTATATACAATATATTATACACACACACACACACACACACATATATATACACATGTATGTATGTATATATGTATAGTATCTAATTTTATAACAATTCTCATCTTAACTTATTTACGCCTATTAACTTATTTTCGATATTTTGCTAGTCTCTAACTTCCGTATTCATCCTCTAACCCATCGATAAAATGATTCCCGTATCATCTCATGGTCGGTGTCCCAACTGGGTCTTTTTTTACCTTCATGATTTTGATAAATTTCTGCAACAGCCTCTCTCGGTCCTGCGACTTTTCCTGCTGCATGATGATCGAACGGACCCTGTTGTGGGGGGAAAGGGGGAGACCCACAGACATTGTCTATTTCAGGCGGTCTCTCATACCAGGCAAAATCTCTTTAAAAACAACAACAAATGACTAAAAATAAAACGTTAATCCTAGCTGCCTCCTGGACAGGAGAGAAAATTCGTTTCTCTCTTCAACTTCTGGTCTGATCCAGACTTTATTCTCCCCGGTGGGAGCCGCTTCAAAGCAAAGTTTTTATTTTATTTATTTACGTGTATCCCAATTTTGTTATTTTTTTTTTTTTTAACAAATGACTCAAAGTGGAGAACACATCCAACACAACTTCCTCGTTCTATTTTCCTCACAACAACCCTGTGAGGTGGGTTGGCAAGAGAGAGCAATTGGCTCAAGGTCACCCAGCTGGCCTTGGCGGCTAAGCGGGACTAGAACCCCCCACCTCCTAGTTATTAGCTCAAATTCACCTAGCTAGCTTTCATGGCTCAGGTGAAGCTAGAATTCACAACCTCCTAGTGATTAACCCAAAGCCACCTAGCTGGTTTTCATGGCTCTGGGAGAACCCATCAAGACGCCTTTTCTCTCTCTTACCAGTAAGACATATTATTAAAGTGCTCGGTGAACTGTGTCAAGTTGGGGCTTTTCTCCTCGTTCTGTTCCTTTGCCCAGAGTAGAACTTCCGGAATCTGAAAAAGGATATCAGGACACAGAAAAAATAGATTAACAGTCTCATCGGTCTACTGTCAAATTTAGAGGTCTCCAGTCTGGAAAATTTAAATCTGTCCAGTCCCCCAAAATCAAGAATGATCTGTGGAGTTGCTTCCTTTGCTTCCTTCTTGCCTACCAGACATTCCATGCTCCGCTACCTCATTTTCCTCTGGGAAGCATATTCCCTTCCATCCTGGACTCTAGACTACAAAAAAATCTAAGCCAAATGTAGAAAGTCTCCAATTTAATTTGATTGTCTGTTTCGTTGCTTTTCAGCCTTATTAGGGTTGAATTTCCTCTAGCAAATTTCCTCTGGCAAAAAGCTCCAGAAAACTAGAAAGAAATGATACGTTATTTTCGATTCCTTGGATGTGGCTTATGGCTTTTGCTCACCTGTTCTCGAATTTCAAAAAGCAGAGAGATATTTCCCCTCCCTCTCTTGACTTTAGACTCTCAAAAAAAATCATATTTTTTGAAAAGAAGTTTCTGCCTGCAGAGGCAACCCTTGTTAGAAGCTTTCGTGCCAGCCTCGGAAGCCATTTTTTCCCTTGGAAGCTGTGAGGCTACCACATTCCGTGCCTGGGAATTAGGCAGCGGGGAAGACTAGACACAACAACATTCTTTTCTCAGAGAGTCAAGGACGTGTTGCCCTGCACCTGGAGGGGAGTGACTGGAGGGATGGCACCAGTTGAGATGAAGATTTGGTTGGGCCATATGATGGATCGATGGACGCAGGGGGTGGATCTTTGAATTCCTCAGATTCGGGTTTTCCTAGATATGCCACCAAGACTTCTTTAATAAATCCTGACGTGGATGAACTTTGTTAAGGAGAATGGGGAGTTTCAGCTGGAATGCTGGCAGATGGGGGCTTTGTGCAGAGGTTCAACGGGCACCTTCCCTTGGCTCGATCGAGCAATTTGAAACCAGACAAAACCACAAAACAAAGAGAATGCCTGGAAGTGTGAGTTAGGGATGGTTAGGATAGTACGTTGGAGGCAACTTCCGCGCAACATTTTTCATACCTCAATCTTATAAAACAGCTCCGCGTCCAGGAGGGTAAGCTGCTCTGAAATTTCATGGCTGTGAAAATCATGGAGGGTGCCAGGCCTGGAAACAATGAGAAAAGAAATAGGTTTGCTCAGAAGGGTATCTATTTACCCTTGAAAAGGAGTCAAAAATATCCACCACGAAATTATGGGCTGAACACGACATTTAACATCCTGTCGATGGAGATTCTCAGTCCGCCATTCAGGTTCTAGTTATCCCAAAGGTGCTTTTATCAAGAGGCGACTGGACTTTCTTTGTTTCTCTCTGAAGACCTTTCACTTCACATCCGTTCTTCAGCTCTGGTGGGGAATGGGAGGATTTATACGCCTTGCAGACAGCTAGTTATTTGCATCCTTCTTAGAGAGCCGTGGAGGCCACTCAGAGCTTTCACTGTGTCCTCAGGGTCACTGCAGATAAACCTCCAAGGGGCCTCAACGACCCTCTGAAAGGATGCAAATGACCAGCTGTCTGCAAGGAGGGTCGATCCTTCCGTTTCCCCACCCACTGAAGAGGTGTCTGGGATGAGAAGTGAAACATCTTCAGGGAAAAACAAAGGAAGTCCAGTTGCCTCCCAAAAAAGCACCTTTGGGATGTTCAACATCCCAGTTATCTCATCTACTTGACTGCAGAAATAATGGCAGGTAGCGTTAGGAGCAGAATCTCCATTGCTAAACTCTGTTAAGTGAGCTGCGTCTGATTTTTAACCAAGCTCAGAGAACCCCAAGGACCCCACCGTCTTCCTCCTCCTAAATCCTCCCCCCTAAATCCTCCCCCCTTCTAGCACTGAAAATATGCTTCTCCAAAACGTTGAAGGACACCTTCCTGAGTAGAGGTTCTACTTCTTTCTTTCCCTCCTGCCCCACGGAGCCCCTCACCCATCTCACCTGGCTGCCACCCATCGAGCCGCCAAAGGCTTGATGGAGTTGGTGTAACGCAGCATTTTCCTCTGGTCGACTTTATCCAGGATATTTTTGCGCAAGACTCGGGCGAGGCTGAGTTCTCCATTGCACACCAGGCGGAAGACAAGCTCCATCAACAGCTTCAGGATCTCTTCGGTCAGCTCTACCAAGCTGGAAAAGGAAACCGACCCGGTGAAGGCTACGCTTCTGATCCACCCAGGTAGGTGAGGAGACGCCTCCGAGGACCGCCAAGGTGGAACTCGAGTTGGGCTCAGATCTTAAACTAGACCTTCAACGTACTAGTCCTCATGACGAGAGGAAGTAATTCAACAGCCCAGCAGCTGCATCTACTGAAGGCTCCTATCCACTAAGGGACATCTAAGAAGTCAGAGATCCTACAATTTGTACCAAGAGGGAAGCTCATTTGGGGTCCTGAGAAGCTTAAACTAGATCTTCAACGTGTTAGTCCTCATGATTAAAGGAGGAAATTCTTTTTTAAAAAATAGATATTTTATTATTTCCATATAGGTATATTGAACACAGTGTGATCCTCCTGGTGTTTCCTCCACCATACACACCACAGTGAAAGACAAATAACATATATACTACTTATACATTGCCAGTCTTGTACAATTATTTTGGACCAACATATTCATTCTAACCCATCTATATCATCTCATTATGGGCCTCCTTAGCCTGGTTGTGCTCCGACTCCCCCCTCTTAAGTTTAAGGCGACAACACATGTAGCATATTGGCTATTTGATGACCTAGAACCCACGCCTGGTTCTAGCTGGTTCTTCTCCCGCAGATCAAACCCCAGCCCGCCCAAAGACATTCCACAGAGTTTCTTCTCACCATAGTTCATCCACCACTCTCACCAGGACGAAAAACGTATTCTTGCTGACTCGTTTCTTATTGTTGTCCGGACAGTGGCAGAACTTCTCATAGGTCGGAAGGGGAGTTAAAGAAGTTAACAAGAGGCAGTGACAACCAGCCAACATTGTTGGTCTTAGATTTAGAAGGACCAAACCAGTTGATTTCTGGACATCCAGCATATCTCCAAGGTTGTGTGGGCAAGTGAGACAAGAGTTTAGAAAGGGGTGTCTAACCTTGGCAAACCTTAAAGACTGATGGACTTCAACTCCCATAACTCTGCAGCCAGCATGCTGGCTGGGGAATAGTGGAAGTCCACCAATCTTACAATTGCCAAGGTTGGACACTGTTGTGCGGAGATGGCAGCAAAATCGGACAGTGGGGAAGAACATGGGCCAGTCCAGGATGAGGGTCCTGTGACTGATACAGAGATGGGGCCAGGACCATCTGGGAGTAATTTACTGACTCTAGAGCCTCCAGAATCTGGCAGCAGCAAGGCAGAGGAACAGCGGGAGCCTGTTGTGCAAAGGGAGAGGAACCTTTGCAGGAAGCAACTTTCGTTCACTTAAACCTTGAAGCTCTGTGTGGACTTTGTACTTTAGTTGGCTTTTTACAGTTCATTTGGCACTTTACCTGTTGGTATCAATTCAAAGGAGAGAAAGGTGGGTGCTTATCTCGGGGGACTGCTTGGGACTCATTACCGGCTGGGAATGAACATAATTCCCAGTGTTGAAATCTAAAACAAGACAATATCCAGCATCGTGTACTTCTGAAGGGGAAGGGAGTTACTAAACCCCAATTTTATCCCTGTCCCCCCAAAAGGATATCGGTATTGTAGTTTTTTTATAAGCTCTTCTGGGGAAATAAACGTTCGGTATGTTGTCAAGAAGGCTTCACAGTAAAGCACCAGATCTGGCCAAGATAGGAAGAAAAAAAGAGAGAGAGAGAGAAATAGAAATTAATTCATCTTCTGATCAAGCAAGTGTCCTCACCTTGGAGACCTGGGGGCGTCGCCAATTCTATCTCTCTCACCAGGGGGAACCCAGGAGGAATACAAATAAAAGGTTGGAAACATAAAAACTGGATTTATAGAGCCAGACTGGGCTTGGGGTTAAGGTAACAGGCTAGAAACGAGGAGACGGGAGGTTCTAGTACAACCTTAGGCAGAAAAGCCATCTGGGTGACTTTGGGCTGATCACCGGGAGATGTGAGTTCTAGTCCCACCTTAACCATGAAAGTCAGCTGGGTGACTTTGGGCTCTGGGTGACTTTGGGCCGATCACCAGGAGACGGTGAGTTCTAGTCTGGCTTCAGAGATGAAAGCCATCTGAGTTGACTTTGGGGCAACTTTTCAAGGATCTCCTTCCAAAATCCTTCCTGCAGCCTTTCTGGGTCTCGATGGCAACATCTGCCTCTAGTTGTGAATGTGAGCCTTGCATGAGGGTTCACTCACAGGGTCCCTCCACAGTACCTTTTACCGTCCCCTCCACAGTGGCCGTCTCTGTCGCGTGCACCAGAAGGATGTCTCCCGACCCACCCCGTACGTCTGGACCATCATCCCCCTGCAGCAGTGGAAGAGAAACCCCAAATGATGCACACGAGAAGCGAAACATCTTCACAGAAAAATTAGGAAGTCCACTTGCCTCTTGGAAAAAAAAAAGGCACCTTTGACTTATTCATTGTACACTTTAGCTTCCAGGCGCCTGATCGTCTTTATTGCTCTTTTCTGCACTCTTTCCAGAGTCTCAGTGTCTTTAATTTTTTCTTTTTTGTATTGTGGTGACCAAAACTGGAGGAAATATTCCAAGTGTGGCCTCACCAGTGCAGTATAAAGCCTTAAGATAGATATAGATAGATAAATAAATAAATAGGAGAAGTCAGAACTTACTTCCTGTTTCAAGGTCAGCCTTTCAAGGATTTCGCTGTGGTTCACTAGCGACAATTCGTCCACTTCCTCCTCGTCCATCGGAGGGTTCTCCAAGGATTCCTGGGACTTCACTGGTCTGGATGTACAAGACAAAAAGAGCATGCCCTGCGTTGAGAGGGGGCCTATCATGGCAAGATTTCTAGTCCTCAGTGTTTTGGAAGGATTGGACTTAGATCAAAGGTTAGCCATGGATTTCGTCTGAAAATCTGGCTTGAAGTGTTCAGTGGAGTCCCTCAGAGAAAGCTTAAAACCTGGTGGATATTAGATTTTGTGCACGTATATGAAATAAGTATATATCATTTTTAATTTTGAAATGTACCCATAAAAACTAACAGAAACTAAGGAAGGGAGGGAGGGAGGGTGAGGAAGGAAGAAAAGGAAGGGTGAGGAAGGAAAAAAGGAAGGGGAGGAAGGAAGGAAGGAAGGAAGGAAGGAAGGAAGGAAGGAAGGAAGGAAG